AATCAAAGTCGGGGATATATTAGTAACTTAGTGCCTCACTATATAAAATTACAAATAATTAAAGGGTTATATTAGTACAAGTGATATTAAAATACCTAAGTTAGATAAATATATTTATGGAATGTCCGAACCTAGATTATTAATTATTAATATATCAATATTATTTGTCCAAACCTAATTACGAAGCATGATTCTTCGCCAAGTAGGATTACGAAGCACCAGAATCAGCCACGTAGGCTCAGCGCATTTGGGAATTATATATAGGGAGGGATTTTAAAAATTATAAAGTAAAAAATAAACTGTGTCTTTTTTTTTCTTTGGAAACCATATATTAGTATATAGAAATGTTCACCTACCCATGTCGAGCACATGTTAATATATCCACTGCGTAGGTGGTATCCACTCATTGGTGATGTTAATATGCTTAAAAAAACAAAAAGATTTTAGCCGAGGCGAGTACAACTTTTTCCGCAAGAAGAATACGCCCCGTGTGGTGCTAACGGTTCAGGCGTAACTTCCTCAAAGATCAACGAAAAACGTCTCTAAATCTGTAGCACACCAGATTTAAGAGCTCCGGCGAACTGGAACGAAATCAAGAATTGAGCACTTAAAAAATGGGAATAAATATATCTCTCTGTTAATTTTTCTCTATTATTCTCAATAATATTTTTATCCATATTACCAAACAGGTTTTTCAATTGTCTCCACCTTAAGATACGATCACGAATACTGGTATTCCCTATTTGGAATATAAATTCCTTCTTTTCTTTTCTTTTCTCTCTCCCTTTCCCTTTCTCCTTTCCTCTCTCTGTTCTTTTCTCCTCTTCTAGTTTCTTTTCTACAATCTGGCCGAAGGCCTTTTTATAGGGGAGGATTACCTCCCCAATTGAAATAAAAAATATTTTTTTAATATAATTGGGAAATTATTAGGGCGGTGGGCATGTGGGTAAGTGACCCTTTTACTTTCTCTTTACCTAACAATCCTCCATAAAAAAGAAAGTAAAGAAATACACATAGATACAGACTCTTGTGCTCATTCCTCACAAAACTCTATCGCATCAGAAAAAGGTAGCTTGTGGCTTTGAACCTTTCTTAGTAAACATCATCGGATGTACTGGCGACCTAGTGGACATAATGCCTTGAACTATTCCTCCATTGTACACCTAGACAATGACATTCACACAATAGAGTCTTAACTCTATTTCGTTCTAATGTTGTGTCCGTTTTGGCCATGGAGAACACAATGGATTCATAAGTGTTTACAATTGAAGCGGCCCACACTTCACACTTATATAGGTGACCTCCCTATCAAGAGTATCATGTCTTACTCCACCTTTACAAGGTTAGGGATTCATTAAAAGTCTATATGACTTATTCTCACCACAATTAACAGGTAATTTTGCACTTGAAGTGTTCTAGGGAATAGCTTTGGACATTCATATGTTCCAAGTGCTCAACTGACTTTTCATAGCTTAGTTTTCCCTTTGAACCAAGTTCGTGGGATCTCCACTCGGCATGGTAAGGTTACCACTATGATCATTCTTTGCATTGTAGATTTTTAAGCTCATTTCCCCTAGCAATCTTTCCAATTGACCTCTATTCAATATTTTGTCAAAGGATCAGCCAAATTTTCCTGCAACTTCACATAGTCAATGGAAATAATACCATTTGTGATCAATTGACGTATGGTATTATGTCTACGACGAATATTTCTAGACTTATTATTATACAAGTTGCTTTGCGCCCTACCTATAACAGCTTGGCTATCACAGTGAATCATCACAGACGGTAAAGTCTTTTCCAACATGGAATATCGGATAAAAAATTTCTAAGCCACTCGGC